TCACCTATCTAAAATAACTGAACCCCTACAGGTATTAGCAATAGGAAAGATTTATTGGTATCGATGAGCAGTAGGTTTAATCCAGATCTGTGGCGACCCCATAAAACCCCTTACTCTCCTATCCGTAGTATACAGACTGAGATGGCTTTCATGGGGCTCTTATTGATGCAGTATCCTAGTTTAATGAGCGCTATTCACCGCAGAGATTATCACTTGTGGTCTTTGTTAGCTGGAAGGTTCTATGGAAATTTTTCCTGTTTCTACTGGGACGCGTCCAGTTATTTTTAACTAGTGACAATAAAGAACGTGGTTTAGTATGCTTGAGTTTTTGGCCCCCGATACACTGGGAGCCCGGTGCTTGACCCGAGCCGGATTGGGACGGGTTCGGCCTTGAACTCAAGTTGGTTTGCCATTAGGCTCAATTAATTCCAGGACTGTGGATGAAACTCAATCCCACTCAAGATTTTCTCTAGTCACAGATCATCACCCGTATTAACCACCGTCACCTATTCTAGGAGAACCTCGTCTCACCACTCCCACCGGTGCCCATATCTCAGTATAGTGCCGAAAAGTTCAAGCCGAGGACGAGCCAAATTGGTGGTAGGCTTAAGTTGGCTCGCCAAACACTAATATGATATTTCCTAGATTACCTATGACCTATCTCTCAGTTGAGCAGAGGTGAAACTAGTTACAAAGCAGCACTCGTGGCATTATTTTTCGGGGACTCGGTTCTCAACCCAAAACCTGAGTTCTGGTGTCTGCCCCGGGGCTATTTTATTTACTCTTGGTGATGTATGCCTGACGGTCTTTCAAGATATCTACTGAAGGGTTTCTCGGTTGTCTTAGAATCAACCCCCCGCTATGAATTGAGGTACAGTAGTGATCGAGATGTATTTTTGGCTTGACGATTATGTGTTCTTGGTGCCCTAGCTTTGCTTCTCTGTTCCAGCCAGACCCGTCAGAATGTGACAGCTCCTGACTGAATATCACACTATTCTTTAGTAGATATGATACCAAATCAACAAAGAACATTTTTTCCGAAACGTTAGCTTGGAAACAAATCTCCCTAGCTTACCGACCAGATCTGGTGCATTCAAGTTGATAAAAAATCTTATAGACTTAGATAAAACCATTGATTCCCACGTTTTTCATCTTGAACATGAACTTCCGTTTTGTCTCTTTTTTGGCGGGCCCATCCTGATATATGGCATTTGGATCCATTTCTTTTCATCTTGGGCATCTACATTCTTTTCAACTTTCCTTCTTGTCTTGAGAATCTTACGATCTTTTCAAATTTACCTAAACACATTCCTTTTAGTCCTATATAACTAATCAGCTGGGCTGTTTTTTCCCATTCTTCATCTTCTACGCTATCAAGTACACAGATAACAAGATATACTCAAAGCAAGAAGAATCCCAAATCACTCTCACAAGGCTTCAGACAAAAATCTCAAATATCACTCACAATGTCACAAGACTTCACCCAGATGCAATTCGGCGATTTGCCGGCGAGCTATTTCACTGATCTACTTGAGAATGGCAAGAGTACCATTTTTGGCGATCTCCTACCCGTCTCCATGGACCCTCTGTCGCATTCCGTCGATCCTGTCCTTTTGCAGCAAGACATCTACAACCTGCCTTTCGAACTATCAAATCTTGATAGTATCGTTGCTGGAACCCCGGCTCACTCTTGCGCCCAGAACTTGAATTCTGCTCTCTACAGCAGTGAAGAGCCTTTTGGCTTGCTGGATGCTTCGGGTTGTGAAGGGCCAGCATCAATCTGCACCGGTATTCCTTTTCCCGCGCAAGGGGAGCTCTTATATCCTCCCGTTTTCGACCTCGAGGAATACCTTGCATCGCTTGATCAGCCTCAATCGTCTCCGCGCGCTCTTGCTGAAGCTTCCGTCTCCGATTACAATAACCCCCCCCAAGATGTTTCAAGTCTTTTTGGTTCATCTCCTGCTTGCCAAGAGGGTGGTCAAGATGAACAGTTTCCTATTGGCTTTGAGAACCCCAGCCTGATACTTCCTACGAAAGCTCTTCTCAGCCCTAAGGATGAAATCCCCCCCATCGTGATTTCCTCTTCTTCGGCGTCTTCTCTCAGAGAAGGACTTGCTCTTGACGACAACGGAGGTCCCTCCAACTTGACGGAGCCTCCTGTGAATCAGGAAATTGCCACAAGTATCCCAAAAAGCCTTGCTCCAACATCCCATCTAAAGGTCACTGGAAAAGTTTCTGCGATGCAGAAAATCAAGGATTCACACAAAGAGGTTCCAATAGTCTATTCTGTGTACGAGCCCTTAAAGCCATGGGCTGAGTTTAAGTATACTACTCGTGGCTATCTGCATGGAGATATTGTCTTCGACAAGGAGAGCATGCAGAGATTTGTGCGAGGTATGTTCTCACCATAACCCCACGCCCTGACCCTTCTAAAAAGACTGGCTAACTTGACAGATCATCCGAATGGCGAGCGCCTCAACATGAGGATCGAAAAGCACCCATATAGCTTCCAGTGCCGGTATAGAGAGCCACAGTACATAAAGTGCAGGTCCAAAGTCTGTGACTGGGACCGGGCCTTCAAAGTTGGAGACCACAGAGTCGCCATAGACGAAGTCACCGGGCGCCTTGCGGAAGGGCAAAAGGATGACAACGACCCCTACTTTTCGGCAGGGTATCTCCACCTGCACTGCTTCGAGCGGCTCATTCCTGTTGCTCCACTCGTCGTCCTCAACATCCTCACCACCGACAACAGGCGCATATATGAGAAGGAGCCAGACTGCACGCGCATCAACAAGATGGGTGTTTCCCCCGCTAGTGCCTCCGCATTCACTAACTGGCGCATCGAGGCAGTCGAAGGCTATACGGTCAGCAGTGATTGGGCGCCTGAGAATACACTCGCCTATGCATTATGGCTTTCGGGTGTTCGCAAAGGCCGCAAGAGAGTACGTGCCCCTCCGGGGATTACGAGTGATGATATTGCCCAGAAAGTCACTACCCGTCGTGGTTGGGGTGGAAAGCGTTGCTCCGGTGTGACGGTTGCTACAATGAGGATTATGGAGAGTCAGGGCCGCTCCCATGAAATGGTTGCTTCTAGGAATGGAAAGACGGGGAAAAAGGGTGTGAGGTCTCCATCACAGGCCAAGAAGCGGACGAGGTCTTGTTCTACTGCTAGCGAGACTACCCAAGGCACTGGAGGGTCTGTCTCTGAGTGTGAGGATGCCAAGGTTGCCCTAACTTCACCTCCCATTAAAAAGATAAAGAGAACCGGGGGTGAATTCAAGATCGCCGAAGATCCTGTTGCTCCGGTTACTTCCGATCTTCCAACTGATCTCTCGCAGATTCAAGACATTGGGCAATTAATAGATCCAGCCGGGCTTCCATCTCAGGCACCTGTTTATACCGATCCTGAGATGGTTTATGACATCGGCCAACTAATGGCAGCACCTATTCCGCAAAATATAACAACCCCAGCTCCATTCCTAGGCTATACCTATGGGAACCAATACCCCAATATTGACCCTAACCTAGGATATCTTGAACTCTTTGACACTGTAAACTGGAGCAAGGTTCCTTTGGCAGGTGAAGAATGGGCCAAGGAAAACATTGACCCGGCACTCCTTCAATTGAGTTGGGAGCTTCCTCCCCAGCAGACCACAACCCAATTTACTCCTCTGGCAGATAACGCCCAGGCATTGAACCAACAAGGTTGGACACTCCCTCACACCCAACCACACCAATACTACCAGCCTCCTCCTCCAACTATACCAGCCAGCAAAACAACTCGAAGGTCCACCCACAGACCCAACCCAATCACAATCCCACCCCCTACCCCAATATCGAAATCAACCCCTATAACAGTACCCACCCCAACCCCCCAACCCACTGCAGGAATACCTAACCTTGCATCTAGGTCACTTTCACCCATCCCCTGGACCGCTCCCACTACTACTATGCATAGAGGCAGCCAAGGCCATCGGGGCCCGCGCCCCCAGCCCGCTGCTACATACATCGCTGATCAGTGTGTCCAACAACACCAACAGCAAGAACAGAGTGGCGGCTTGATTCCTACCCCTAGCTTTCCTCTTGCTTCCACGCAGGTTCCGCACATACCCGCTGCCCAGGCCCGGTTGGCGATACAGGGCTTTGGGACCGCGCAGGTCTACCCACCGCAGAAGACTCCTAGTGAGCCTGTGATTGAGCTTGCGGGTATTAATTCGTTTGATACGGAATTCGCCATGTTCCAGCCCGCCCATGAAAACCAAAATTTGGTTGCACCCTTGACTGCAGAGCAGATGAATTATATAGATAATTGGTTTGGGGGGCAGGGATTCTAGTGTAGTAGGTCGTACTTTCTTTTTTCGCTTCTTTTAGTCATTTAGCAACTTGCATTTTTTTTTTGTGTACTCTACTTCTTGCATTATACCTTTTGGCATTGGTTTTTTGTTTATTTGGTTTGTTAATACTTGGCTTTTCAAATTTTGGAAGTTCGTTGGGAAATAATGGGGGGGGGGGAGAACCGGAACCGAGTACGGAATCGCAGAGCAAGGGTTTATTTTATTTTATTTTTCGCTCGAGATTATGGGAAAGATGCTTGTCGATTTGGGAGATACTAGTCTATAATATCGCGAATACAAAGAGTAGTTACCCTGGTGTTCTAATTGTGCTATTGCTGCTAATAAACTAAGTCGAGAATATATTATAACATCAACCTAAGCTCACCAAGCTCCCAAGCTAGCAAAAACCGCATAGCAATGCAACAGCCCTCCCTCCACTCCACTTACTCCATTTTGCCGTTTTAAAGCAAGATCCCAATTCTATTTCCATCAGCAGCCCCCTACACTACCGCAAACAAAGAAAATCTTACGAGTGATCATCCATGAAAATGCCACGTGCCGCCAAGCCCCTTAGTGCCACCAGAGACTCCAGTAAGAACCAAGCAGGTGCTCATCATCACCGCACCACCTCCTCCATCCCTCCACTCACAACCCAAGAATCCACAAATGTCTTCCCTAGCGTCATCGATCATAAAAGAACTTATCAACTTCACCATCCCCCTCGTCCACAGCTTCATCCTCCTCCTCGCCCTGTTATTGGTGTTGGGCGCAATTGTGGTGTACATATACGAGCAAACAAACAAGCGCAGATTGCAAGTGGTGCCTGAGACACAGCCCGTAGCGAAAGAGCCTCTGCTCGTAGAAGCAGAGCAAGCCCTCATAGGGGAAGCGGAAGAAGGTTACGGCGGCGATAGTGATAAGGTGGAAGAGAAACACCCCCAAGACACCGAAACCGGGGGGCTAATGCGCCAATGGCAAGTACAGAATCCAGACTTTGTCGTCCCACCAGAGCTAGAGGAGGGAGCTCCCGCCAACGGCGCTGGATTACCGCAATTCAATGCTGGGGGAGGTGATGGTACCACACCGGCGGCAGCAGCAGGACCAGCTAGCGGACAGACAAGGCCACACATCCCCCACACCCGCAACGTCGGTGCTAAGAAAGCACGCTCACTTGCACGACGGGATCAGCGGAGGGCATATCACGAGCTCTTGCACTCCCAGGCTGCGATGCGTGCCAGTGCTACGGCGGAACGTGATGAAATGTTCGAGGAGAAGCGAAGATGCGCGCTGGTTGAAGATGAGATTGCGGCGAAGAAAGAAGCGGAGACAACAACTTGGCTTGAAGCTGAGAGGAACGGCGCTGAGAATGAGAGGGGGGATGTGGAGGGGCTGAAGAAGAAGGTTGCGGCTCCGGGGGCCTGGAGAGTGAGCGCGTTGGGTGGGAAGAGGGGCGAGGAGTGGGGCGTAGAGGTGCTAAGGCGGGAAGGGCTGGTCGGGAAAGTTAGGGGTGGGGAGGATGTTGGGATTATCACTGGGGAGGGGTGGTACGTCAGGCTTGGTGAGAGGCAGTTGGAGTCGATCTCTGGGGAGATTGAGAAGAAGGGAAGGATGGAGTGGAGGGAGATTGCGGACAGGTTGGAATGGGTTGTTGGGAAGTGAGGGTTTATCTTATCTCTCCTCCATCTCTTCAAAGTCTGGATGCGTGATGTGATCATTATTCTTATTTGTTTACCCGGCGTTCTGGCTTATACAAAAAAAGGTTTCTTAGAATGGGCGGTGGCGGCGGAATGGATTTCTTCCTTACGATGTTAATTCTGCCTTTCTGAGAGCCCAAGTTAGTCAGGCATCCGCTTAGCGTAGCATCTGGTGATGGGCAACAAGCATTTCAAGAGAAAAAATTATAATAATTCTACCTCCACCCTATCCTATCAGGCAATCTAGCTAAACAAACAAACGAAAAAGCAAACAAACAAACCCCCATCTCATTGACCTCATCTAATTCATCTATCTCATCTCTCATCCCATCTTCATATGTCACTACCACACAACCACAAACTCCAACCCCAATCTCCAGCTCAGGTAGCCACCATATCACACTAAATTCTGCACCTATCCGCACCCCACCTCGCAAACCCGAATGCCTACTAAAATCAGCCCTCTATTCCATCGCTCCTCTCCCCAATCGAAGATAACAACACCATCACACCACAAGATATCGTACCATTCCAATAACTCCCCTAAGCTCTAACCACAAACATATCCGGCAACCCTCCACCACCACCTACTCCAGGGAGCGGCGGCGGCGGAGGAGGCTGTTCGGTAACCCCCATACCAACCACGGCGTGCCAGTCCGGATTTCCCTCGAAATGCGTTGGGGCGCGCGGATGGGGGTGGCGACGGACGAGTCGAGGGCCAGTAGGCGCGAGAGAGCCTCTGCAGCTGAAGATACACATTCAATTATTTTTTTTGGTACGGCAGATATGTACGCACGTGCTGAGTGCGGGATGGTGCGATACGCTGCAAAGTCGGCGGTTTCCAGGGGAGTGTGAAATGCGTGCCAATCGATGCGAATTCGGTGGTTTAGAATTGTGTAAGAGGAGGAGAGGTGGGAGGGGAGGTTTATTAGTTTTATATGGGCGTTTGCACAGGAGGTCGCTCGTTTGTTGGGCTTATTGGGGATTCCTTCCTTTTGGGGGGGATGGGATGGGTGTTTGGCTATGATAACTTTGTGGTTCGCTGTCGTTTGTTGGGTTTCGTTAGTGGGGTCGTAGGATACGAGTGCGCAGATTGCGAGTGATAGGGAGAGAAGAGAGGTGGCCGTTTGACCTAAACTCTGCTGAATAATTGTGAGGAATAGGATCTTCACTATGATGCTGGATTCATCGTACTCCCAACTTTGGAGAAAAGGAGCCCATATTACCTTCCCCCTGTGTCCAACCTAGCATTTATGGTTTATCTTTGCTTGAGAGTAAAGTGAGGAAAGCCCCAAGTGGTAGATAAGATAAATATTGTACTATACCAGCATTCGAAAGAGGCCATCGTTCCCCCCCGATCCCTCAAATATCATACTCATCGCGAGCAGGGGAGAAAGCATCACCAGATATGATTCGGTGCATTAAGCTCCAAGCTTCGACCAACCTCCGAACTCAAGAATAGTCCAGGCATCCTCAACGGAAAACGTCAATATTCTAATACATGCCGTCGCCTCAATTACCGAAGAGGGTCGCTCATCAACCTCGCTCGCCATAGTTAGTTCTGCATCAGACTCTTTCTATCCCGAGATTGGGTAACGTTGATATTCTCAGGTTACGAGTATAAGTATGCTCGGATGGCTAGGTTAGGAGAGAGGGGAAAACAGGACTCATACCGCGCAGAACTGTAACACCAGCGCACCTTACTGAAAATCTTTTCCAGTGCCGATAGCTTCCAGAAAATCGATCGCAAATCTTCATGATCCAGTCAGGACTTCTCATACGGTGAAAAGATCACGGGAGTTAAGTTCGGCCCCCGCGGGTCTGACTCACAAACAAATCTGAGGCTCTTGTCCCACATTGCCCCACTACCCCGCGCAAGCCCTTTCCCGGGGATACAATGGCTTAAATACAGGTGCCGAAAGCTAAATGTTTTTCTATGATACCACCACCGATCCAACAAAATCCTAAGTGACAATGTCACCCTCCAATCCCACAGTCGTGCTCTCCCAAGAGCCCGTCTTGGGCATCACATCGCAAACCTTCGAAGATGCAATGGTTATTCGAAAGGAAGTCTTCGTGGAAGAGCAAGGCGTCGCAGCAGAAAACGAACTTGACGACGACGACAAGCGCAGCTACCACATAGTAGCCTACGACTCTGACGCTGACGCCTCAGAGAGAGTGCCCATCGGGACCATCCGAATAGTCCCAGGCCCCCAAAGACACCATCCCGGCGGCCCCATCCCTGTTGGACAGGAGCACGCAAATTACCTGAAGCTGGGACGGTGGGCTACGTCAAAAGTTTATCGGGGACATGGGGTTGGGAGGAAATTGATCGATGCGGCGGTTGAGTGGGCTGCCAGGAAGGAATTTACTGGGGATGACGGGTCAGCGTGGAATAGGATGTGTTTGGTGCATGCGCAGACCAGGGTTGTGAGGTTGTGGGAGAGGGCGGGGTTTGTGGTTGATGAGAGCATGGGGGAGTGGGATGAGGAGGGGCTCATGCATAAGGGTTTGTGGATGAGGATCCCGAAGGTCTAGGAATTTGGTTGGCTAGACTCGAGTATCATATCATACCCCAGTGCTGAGCCGCGGTCTCTTTGTTGGTTGGGTCCGAAGGCTATCGGATAGACTACGGTACTCGAGCATTGTACAGTACTGTGATACCTGCGTTTGATACGGTTTGAGGTTCCCATTAGAATTGTACCGCACAGTGCAAATGGTATTGGAAGGCAGAGATGCGTGATGTGAATGATAAAGAAAGAGACTCTGTCTCAATCAACAGACCAGGCTGCCGAATCGTATCTCACAATACTATTCACAATACTATTCGTAGGAGAGTTGTTGCATCGAGAGAGAAGGGCAAGGTTGAACAAAGAATGGCTCGTGTGCCAAGACCACGTGTCAGATTGCTTCGGAGATCTTGGAAACTCAATGGGGAGCCTCAAAAGGGGTTGCGCGACTCGATGGCTTACTGTGCCATTGTTGCCAAGAATCCACTCTGGTTCCTCTCACGCGTTAAGAAAAACATCAGTCGAAACGCTCTTGCCATTGTCATTGATTTCCAATTCTCTTCACCCATTCAACCGTCCCTGAGTAAAGATTCCCCACAAACCACACTCTTTCATTCAAGTTTAGCCATCGCTCGAGTCTCATTGAGGTCCAACAGTCTATCCTATCCTGAACACCATTCCCGCGCTTTTATTTTCGGGGATTGCTGCCTCCTTCAACAACTATCTCGTCAACTAACACCCGATCGCGCGCGCTCGTCTTATCAACACCTAGTGGCTCTCCCTCTGCGTGTTTGCGGGTTTGAAGTCTTGCTCTACATACCCCCCCCCCAACCCCCTACGGTTCCCTGGGCAGCGCTATCGAAACTCTATCAACGGTAATCACAAACTTGGTTCAGGTATCCCGTCTCCAACACTCACACTGACAAATTTTTAGTCACCTACCCCCCCCGCCCCAAAGTCCTGGCTTAGCGCAACATGTCTTCCGGAGGCATCTTTGACAAAAACTGGGTCCCCCTTCATTCCCCTACCGAACCGTATACCCCTCCTCCCTCAAGGCCGACAGAGGAGGAGGATCATGGCTTCCAACCTTCCTGGGCCATAGACCCCATCACCCAAAATGCGCCGGATCAACCTACCCCCACATCCACGGCGCCAATGCGCCTTAAATCCTTATCTGGGCCCGCACCTGAGACTAACCCACCAGGCCTCGAAGTCGCTCAAAAATCGACCCTCACCACTAACACTAAACCCCAAATGTCATCTGCACCAATGGCGGGCTCCCTGATGAATGATTTCAGTAGGTTTGATTATGCAGCTATGGGTCTAGTGGCTGGTGTCTGGATGGGCGTCGATTTAGTCTGCAGAGGAATCAAGTCCACATTGCATTACGCTGGGTTTGTTGTTGCTGAAGCGATTACTAGTGGGAGACGAATTGTCAAAGACGGGCGAATTACAAAGGCGAGGGTAACAAGGGCCCCAAGACATAATCCGCTATCGAGATCCAAGCGACAGAGGACTCCTAGGAAGAATGGCAAGGGTCAGAGTATGCTAGACCTTCCTCCCCATTATGCCGGGGCCACTCCGTAAGCCATCTCAATCACTCCTGGCCACGCAGAAGTCTAACAGTTCTCTGTACAATTCAGACATCGTATGCGTAACGAGCGGGGTTTGCTAAAGAGAAAAGCAATATCACCCTCGCCGTCACCACTGGAAACACCCCAGCCCAAGAAGCGAGCGCCGAGGCTAGCAGAAACGGCCAAGAAAGTCCGGTTTGCGGAAGAGGGGCCCAACACTCCCAAGGGCACAACATCCCTTTACGGAGCTCTAGATACTCCCGCTCTTATTCGTGAAACGCCAGCGGCACTCCGGAAACCCTTGACTGTTCGCGAGGAATTCAAGAAAAATTTCAAGAAGACCGAGTTCTCCTCATGGGTTGACTTTCTTCACTCACAAGGGATCAAGATGAGAGTGTTCCGGGCCGAATTGAAGGAGAATTTATCGTTGCCAACCGATGCTATTCTTAAGGTTCACGACGACCGAGAAAACAACCCGAAGCATTGGGACACACTGATTTTAGCCTTGAGTCACAACGGTTTTCTGGAGAGAATGAGAATTGCCGTGCCGAAAAATAGATACGGTCCTCCACCGATCAACTGGCAAGAAGTACGAGAGAAGAATCCCGTCAAGATCAATTGGGATAGCCCTTATCAACAACAAGACGGCTGTTGCCGATTCTGCCGGGGATTCTCCTGGGCAGGAAAAGTTGAGACCCGGGAAATTGCTAGGTTTGGTGATGAAGTTGAGTCCAAACCTCAGCACAAGTCCGTCGTGCCATACACCGAGAGAGAAAAGGAGGAGTTCGCGAATAATGTCTTCGATTCTTTTTGGAGACGTTGCTGCCAGGAGTCCCGCTGGGACTGGCTATTTGAAGAACCGCAAATATCCGGCACATCTCCCGAGACTTGGAAAATTCCAAAATCCGATCCTAGACTTCGTCACTTTCGTCGATTTAAGGGTCCCAAAGGTAACGCACACGGGGGTTTGACATTGGCCGACAATGACCTCTTGAAAGAGTTGGAAACACTTAGGGACAGCCTCTCAAGACAGGACATTGCCGCAAAAATATTTATCGACGCTATTTTCAAATCGGGAAATCACGAATTGGCGCAAGATCTCACCAAAGCCGACAAGGAACGCAAACGGCGTCAGGTGCATACTGAAATGCTCTGTGTTCGCCAGGTCAAGTTGCTAGTAGGAGGGTCCCCGACTCGGTACAACGAGCAGCAAGATCTGGTGGAGAAAGGGGCGGAAGAACGAAAGCTCAAGTTTTCCTCGGTGGCTGTTGATGAAGACGAGGATTTAGCCTCTACGAGTGATTCCCCATCAAAAATTGCCAACAACGGTACCCGGATGCCTCTTGGTTCAAAGCGCCATACAAACGGCTTCAGGAAGACTCCAGCGGCTAGCCGGGGGCGTTCGAAACGCTCCGCTAGCCTAGATAAATCTACAGCATCCTTCAATCCTGACGATCTCAAGAAGTGGAATAAAGTGCCGGAGATCCTCGATGAGTGGGCTAGGTTTCAGGAATACCAAGCGAGGAGAAAAAAGAGTCGAATGCACCTTGTGGGACTGAATACCTTCGGAAGCGACCCCAACGCTGGTTTGGACCCCGAAGAGATTGCAGAGAGGGAATACGAGCTCGGTCAGCAACTCTGGGCCGAATTTCAAAAAGAGCAAGAGTACCTAAAGGAAGAGGCAAAGATAGATGAGAAAATCAAAGCGGAAAAGGAAGCTCAAGCGAAGGCTGAAGCTGCATCGGTAGCCCCTAAAACCAAAATGGATGAACAAGAGCGGGGCAAGAGATCAGATGCTACAAGCCGGAGAGCCTTTGGCGAGACCGTGCCAGCTAGTATGAGTCTTCCACATCCCGTGCCCCCCCCTAAAACTTGGGCGGAGGTAATTAACAATGGAAAGGTCCACCCTAAAATCCATGGCCAAAAGCCGCAAAAGCGCCGTATTCTAACCCGGCCCGCAGAGCCATTGGTAAGTGCTTCGATGCGCAACAGTACTCTGCATCCCCGACCATTGAGATAAGAGCGGGCTATGCAGAAAAGGCGGAGAGGGCACATCCACATTCTTAAGGACACGGCAACACCTTCTCTCCAACAGACACTCTTCAATTTTCGACCGCTTCGGCAAATAACGACGATATGCCTTGTTTGCCCGAGTTGTATTTTTTCTGTTTTTTGCTTTTTTTTTTTGCTTTCCTTTCCTCCAAGGAGCACTTGCTCGACACCTTGTTGGATACGCCAAAGCTCTGGCTACGGTCGCGGGGGACATGTCTTTCCCCCCAGAGTATAGTATATAACCTTACGAGTTAAGCTGTGGGAATGATCACCGTCCGGTCGCCCTGTATGGTGGAGCGAATTTTCAATTAGAGGCTACGATTCTTGTGTATAATTTTACTAAGGGGGGTCTTTTTTCTTCTCATTTTTTTCCTTTTCTTTGGTAAGGCATTTTATGTGGCGAATTGGACTCTTGTTTTTGTTACCATAGGTCTGAGGAGTTTTTTCAAAGAAAAAATGGAGGGCCACTTCTGAGTGGGCTGTCCATCGTTGCTTCGAGTCGCGATACTGCGCAAACATTGACAGATATCTTCTGTTCCCGGGTATTCTTTGGGGATGAGACTACCGAAGATCTGGTGGAGGGGCTAGTTGGTGGGCAGAACTCGCTTCTTGCTCTCGCTTAAGCACTGTATGGAGGATGAGTTTCTCTAGACTTTGTGCATTGTATAAAACTCCGAGCAGCAAAGCCGGGATGAGAGCTAGGTTTCTATGACTGAATCACAAACCATCACTAGAACTAAGTTAGATCCACTAAGATTCGACTAAAAGTGCTGTCCCGCCAAGCCATCAGGTGACGTCGTCCATCACTACTTGTGCAACGCGTTTCCCTTACTCACCGCGTTAAGTTAACCTTTCACATCGCTCTCCAACTGCAAAAAGACCTCTATCGATATAGGCGCTACATATCAGGATCTACCCAAGATGCCTCCTCGATCCAGTCCGTCCATGCATGCCCAAATCTATTATTAACTTTACTAATTCCCTCTGACCAGATGCCAATACCCTCCGAATCCTAATAGCAACCGATTCCCACGTCGGCTACAACGAACGAGACCCCATCCGCGGCGACGACTCATGGAAAACATTCGATGAAGTGATGTCCCTGGCGAAAGATCGGGATGTCGATATGGTGCTGCTGTCTGGGGACCTTTTCCATGACAATAAGCCTTCCAGAAAAGCCATGTACCAGGTCATGAAGAGTTTGCGAGCGAACTGCTACGGTGAGAAACCTTGCGAGATTGAGATTCTGTCGGATACCAGTCAGACGTTTCAGAGCGCGGGGGGTCACGTCAATTATGAGGATCCGGATATTAATGTCGCTATTCCGGTATTCTCGATTCATGGTAATCATGATGACCCGAGCGGGGTATGTGTTTGTTTGCTTTTTTAGTATTCATTTCTTTTTTCTTTTTCGAAGGGTTTGCTGATGAATTTGGGGTGGTAGGAGGGGAGGTTATGTGCTCTAGACCTATTATCGGTGGCGGGTTTGTTGAACTATTTTGGGCGGACTCCGGAGAACGATAATATTACCGTTACCCCGGTGCTGCTACAGAAGGGATCTACTAAGCTGGCTTTATACGGGCTGTCGAATGTTAGGGATGAGAGGTTGTTCCGGACGTTCAGGGACGGCAAAGTTAAGTTCCTGCGGCCAGATGTGCAGCAGAAGGAGTGGTTCAATCTGATGTGTGTTCATCAAAATCAGTCAGTTCGTTCCTGCTCCTATGAGAAGGCGAAGTTTATTTAGTTTTTTCTAGTCATGGACATACGGAGACTGGATATCTACCGGAAAACTTCCTCCAGGAGTTCTTAGATATGGTTATTTGGGGGCACGAGCACGAATGTTTAATCGAGCCAAAGTTCAATCCAGAAATGGGCTTCCATGTCATTCAACCCGGATCTTCGATAGCCACATCCTTGTGCGAAGGCGAGGCTGTTACGAAGCATGTTGGCATACTCTCGATCACAGGTCGTGGCTTTGAATTAGAGAAGATAAGACTCAAGACTGTGCGGCCGTTTGTAATGAAAGAGATTGTTCTTGCGGAGGAACCCCAGATGAAGAACGTATGGAAAAAAAACACGAATAGGACTGCGGTTACTAGTTTTCTTTGCAATACAGTCGAAGACCTGATAGAGGAGGCTGTTACTGAGTGGCTCAATGCTCAGGAAGACCCTGAAGTCGAGAGAAAGGATGCTCCATTGCCGCTAATCCGGCTTAGGGTGGAATATTCGGCACCCGAGGGTGGTCGCTTCGAAACCGAAAACCCGCAGAGATTCTCCAATCGTTTCGTTGGAAAGGTCGCGAACGTGAATGATGTGATTCAGTTTTATCGAAAGAAGTCCGCAGCTCGGAGGAAGGTTGGGGGCATGCTTGAAGATAGTGGGTCGCACGTCCAAGACTCCTTACTTGAAGAGTACGGCGGATCTATAGATAATGTCAAGGTAGAGAAATTGGTTCAAGAATTTCTGACCAATGCTACATTAGAGATATTACCGAGTAATGGACTTGGTGATGCGGTTGGACAATTCGTTGATAAGGATGACAAACATGCTGTGGAGATGTTTGTCGAGGACAGCTTAAAAAGCTACTTGACGAAATTGAGGGAGATTGACGATTTAAATGAGGAGACTATCTCGGAGGCTGTAGAGCAACAGAAGAGTTATCTTGAGCAGCTCTTTGCCAAGGGGCTTGTTAAGCCGAAGAGGGTGAGTTTTACATTCTCCTCATCGCTCTAGCTGAAGGGTGCTGACAACCTGACAGACAAGGAAGAAACTAAAACCAAAGCCTGACCATTGGTATTCAGATCTTGATGGCCATTGGTCGGATCAGCCGGCAGCGCTGGTTCGGTCCGGAAGTGATAATGATGGAGACCAGAACGACGATGACGGCGATGACTCGGCAGCCCCCACTCGGAAAACGGCAGCTAGAGGTGGGAGGGGTCGAGGGAGAGGAAGTGCAGCGGCCTCAACTCGGGGTAGAAAGGCTGCCCCAGCCGCAAAAGGCCGTGGCAGGAAGCAAGTTGTTGAAGATGATGACGATGATGATGTCGAAATGATTGAGGATGACGAGGACGAACCGAGCATTCCTCCACCAAAAACAACGTATTATCCTATTACCCCATTCCCTCTCATTAAATATATTGTTCTGACGTTCAGTAGTCGAGGCAGGAAAACCACCGCCGCCCCACCAGCACGTAAACCTGCGGCAAAGCCAGCTGCTGCTCCTCGGCGACCAGCGGGTGCCACACGCGCAGCCAATCAGCAAGCTTCGCAAGCCAGTACAGCCAGGACGAGGCAGGCAAAGCTGAACTTTGGTGCTACACAGAATACCCAGGCGCGTGAAAGTCAGGCAAGTAACTCCTTATTTCACAGGGCTATACACCCTCCCAGTGATGACGAGGACATCGATGACGATGAGGATGATGATTTTGAGCCGTTACCTAGCCAGAGGACTACTAGGTCCAGCAGGCGGTAGGAGTAGTAAGGTAACTCAGCTTAGGTGGACATTGAGAATTGAATGGAGAACGGGAAATGATGGGACAAGGGATTTTGTTGGGCAAGTGATGTGTGGCTTTGTTTACTCCGTCTCCTAGGGTCAGGTACAGCAAATTAAAGGGTTTCCTGAGAGACGTATGGTAGATCCTCTTCTAAAAGTGAAGTTTACGCAGGTTTTGCCTTTTTAAGGTGAGTGAATGCGAGATGTGGTTACAATTGACCCGGTCTCGCAAGAGTATGGGTCTCCGTGTGTTGTGGACCTAGGGGCTTTCACGCATCCCGTGAGAAGGAAATGTATGAAGCACACTCAGACATTCGGCCAGTTATAACTCGGTATTATACAGATACTGCTATAATGAACCTCCATTCCCCTTTCAGCTCAAACCCCTAATAATATAATCTCTAGTGCGCCCAGTAATGCCCAAATAGATATTTGAAACCCCTGCTGCGAACAAGTAAAACAAGGTTCTAACGCCCACCTCGTTCTCCATATACTCAATTAGCCAATCGAACGTCTTGTATGGCACACAGTCGACGTAGTGACCTTACCCGTGGGATATAGGTAGTACGAGTACCTATGTTGGACACGGAGCAATTTAAATGAAAGCTGGAGGCTCTCTTGGAAGTAGAGTGCATCTTGGAACAAATAGGCAAAAGCTGAGATCCTTTTTGATGCTCTGGAAAAGGAGAATTTAAATACGGCCTTGTTCTGCATCTATGAAACGATTACGATTCTTCTGTCTTACAAGATTTCGACTTGCGGCTTTAATTGCGGAACTCATGTATGTCTTGCTATCGTAGGTTGATATTCATCTGCATCGGATGGATTTGGGAATTAGGAGCGGGCAGCATGTGTTCCGCGTTCCAAATCCATAACAACCTACAAGTTCCCCCACTTCGGAAGATACATTGCCCTAATTTTTGGAACAAACAATCGCGATTTCCACCAGACCACAATTGATTTCTGGATCTCACGATGTTCACTCGGTGCGCTGAGTGCAAAGCTATGGTTTTGAATATCCACCGTCAAGCCCCCGCGCGGTATAAGTTAAGCTCTAGATGCTATTTACCATCAATTTAATTAGCCGCTACCGCATAGACGAGGGTGTTTTTGTAACCTTAGAATCTAACGAATTCACCCAGGTGCCATACATAACATTATAAGGTTAAGTTTGATGCTTTCTCTCGTTGGCTTGGTTCCTCCGGCCCCACCACAAACACCGAGTGAGAAGCCATGACCGCTCTAGGGCAGATCTGGGGGCGGGTAACTCCCAGCGCCTAGCAGATGACGTCGGTTGAACTCGGTTCAAATACGCGGACACAAGTTGCAGCAACTCGTATAGCAGCGCCATCTCAATTTCACCATTTCCACCAAAACGCAATGCCTCACGACATAGCCGGTAATGATATGCCGGTACCTGAGCCTGACCCCTTTGGCAGCGGTGACCACGACGCCTACGACCTGTCCTCAACAGGAAACTACCCATCCCCGCCCGGCCTCGCCCCGCTCTCCGGTCTCCTAGGCTATTCCGAAGCAAACCGCGACTTCTTCGTCCGTACTTCACTCACGCAGACTACAGCGCTCCTTGGGCTGAAATTAACGCCCGCGGAGCGGGAAGGCCTGACCTACTACAACAGCCGCTTCTACTCGTACGAATCCTACGGGGACGTCCTGGGTATTTCCGCCGGAATCTTGATTTCATTTCTCCTCCGGAACCGCAAACCCGGCGTTATATCTACCACTATGGTCCGTGTGTTCACGAAACCGGGCGCACAGAGAGACAATGCCGCCAAGTGGCTTAGTCGAGGACTGAAGCTTTCTGTCTGGGGTTGCGTTGGGCGGATGTACGGCCTCACAAGTGCGGGCTTCCAAGCGCTTCAGAAGAATAAGGCTGAAAAACGACTGGATCCGAATCTTCGTCGTGTGGTTGCCGCGGCGAACAAGAAGAAGGAAGCTCTCGTGCACGAGATTCAAGCCAACGGGCCCAGACTTCGGAGGATGGAGGGCTTGGAAAATCCGGGGGCGCAGGACGATGGGCAGAGCTTGGGCGGGATGGAGATTTCTGATGGGACGGAGGATAGGTTGGATGCTAGTGAGGTATTCCCGCATGGGCGGCCTTCAGAGCAAGTCGCCGAACTTGAGGCTAGGAAGCGGAGTGGTGGGCATCCTGGGAATGACCCGTTTGGTGTCGACGACGCCTCACCGACGAGAGGTGATGGGGTGATGGGCCAGGGCCAGGGTGGGTGGACAAATACACATTCCAATACAAGCGAGTCCGCCTGGGAACGAATAAGGAAGGGCCAGTCTCCCACAACACGCCCTCCGACCGACAGAGGTGAAGGTGATGGGAATACTACGTATACTAGTGAGCCGAAAGTAGGGGGGTGGCCAGGTCGTGCCTCAATGAAGGGGTACGGCCAAGGTGCCAATAGAGAGCCGGGGACGGACAGCTTTACGTTCTCCAAGTCCGAGGAGGAGAGAGAACTTGCGAAGCAAGAAGCGCAGAAGGAATTCGACGCCAAGGTCGAGAAGGAGCGAAGCGGGGGATCGGGGGATGGATATACGGAAGGTGATTCCAGGAACCGGCGATGGGGATAGTAAGGTGGCCCTATCCAGCTAGATACGGCAAATGTAAATAGATCACACATAGGCTGGCTGCTTTGCCGATCAGCGATGGCGTGACAGGTTTGTTCGAGACATTTTGCCGTGGGTTTCAATTGAAGCTGATTGTGTCTTTGAGGTTATTGATTCTGAGTCATGGGTTATACACCTTGTGGCCGAGTCCCAAGGGTAGTCAGTAGTTTTGCGACACTCTTTAAGTGTCTTAGCATTGGGCCACATATCGGACCCCTCATGTCGGAATGATCACAGATGCCCCGGAGCAGCTCTCAAAGACCCCACTGAGCCGAATGAAAGGTTCAAAAGTCTTTATATAAGTTAGGCAATGGCCGCTCTCCCTCCCCAAAAATCATTTCGCCCCATCCGCACTTTCGGATCCTCTATCCCGGCGAACGTCCTTTCTCGAAATGCAGGAATCTGCACAAGCCGAAACAAAAAGGCATCACATTTTTCCCAGCCCAATTATCAAAAAACAAAACAAAACCTCCACTTATTTCTACAAAAACATCCTCGGTGAAATTGTCATATCGATCGTGCCCTGCACTTTAATATCACGCTAGGTGCACGATCCTGTCGGGTGATATAGTCTACATAATATCATTACAGTAAAAACCCCGAGAAAAGTCGTGTCGTGTCCGATCCATCTCATCCTATATGGGTACGCATCCTGCCTGCACGCTGGGGCACTGCGAGAAGGCGGGAAATGGGGGGAATCTTGTAGGATATTATATCATACATACAATGAAATAAAGGAAGACAAATCCCCCCTTTTTTACCATATCCCCTCCTCCTCCCTTTCCACGAACAGCGAAGCATATGATAATATTATAATACCTGGAAGGAAGGCAAGGCGGAGCAGAAACGGGCGGAAGAAAAGAGCCAACAAATATCTGATAGTGGGAAATACCAAAAGAAAGATCTCCGCGTTATGATACCTGGAGATTACTGTATGTGTTATTGGGGTTGCGACTATGAATGGAACAAATTGTTTCCTTCCAATATATATATATATATAACTGTACGGGAAGTGAGCAAACACTTACATGAGCAAAACACCAGACTCTCAAGGTCTCGAAGTGAACCCCTTACACCGCCCACCAACCCCTCCCAATAATCCAGAGATTGGCCAAAGTGGCGATACCACCAGATCTATTTAGAGTAGCTTACCTCGAATCCCACATTGGCAAACATTTACGGTACTATACAACCCGGTCATTCACAGCGCAAGTATAGTAGTAAGTAGACAAGAGATGCTCGGGTGACGCTTCTGCCATCCCATCCCATTCCATTATCTCCCCCCTTGTCCTCCTCCAATTAGCGAAATGGTATATATCATAGCCAGGAATTCCACAGACTAATATCTCATGTATTCTAGAAGGATCAACACTCAACCTTGGCGTGTGTGGGGGGGTGAGCGGGAATCGGCAGAAATCGACTCCCACTCATTCGATATAATAACACACCCCGCACGAATTGTCTTCATGTCGTGATACTTTCTCGGGTTGGATCGTTGGATGTGTACGAGACCTCGGTCCAGTGGGCGTACAGCATATCTTGTTCTCTAAACACGTACCATACATAATCTATAAAGGATGGTGCATGGCTGAAGGGCGTAGGAGATATATACACTCGAGTAGATGGACAATACTTGAGGGAAGGAATAAAAAAATATGCCAATACTGGTGTAGAAGGGTGCCAGCGGAGGTGAATTGTCGGAAGCTATAGACTAAGCACCCTTCTGTTCCTCGACCGATATGGGATGATGCTCCAGAGTGCCTCAAGCGGTAGTTTGAGGCCATAAAGAGACCTATGAAACCAGGTTTGGCTCCCGGACCGGACGTTCCCATATGCCCAGAATATCTTTTCACCGAGTATTGTGATAGGACCCTACAGAACCCACCAAGGGTGGCTTTTCACACACCAAGTTAACTCAATTGATATTCATAGCATGCCAAACCCCTTCAAACCCCACAAAAACCTATCTTCACTAAGTCGGATACCTCCGCAAAGCCAAAGAATATCGTGTATTATTTTTCATACAAAGCTACCATGATTAAATTTTATAGAAGACTATTTTCCTCCAAATTAGACAGCCGCACAAAACCGTAGAATTTGGTTTGCACTCAGCCGAGGTTATAACTAGCATTATCTTATATAACCAGAAAAAGCCTAACACCAGCAGTACTCCCAGTCGGACAGCAGTCGACTATAGTTGGCCAGTGCACCCAATTAAGACACACACTGGTATGGTTCCGGACAGTAAAAATCAACCCTCTGTATATTGAGAATTGCTGACTAAGCTACAGGATATCACTCACTTTTTTATTTCCCTTTATTTTCCTGTTTATAATTAGGAATCCTTTAAAAATTACTAAAATCTTCCCCCCCTACACTACAAGTATTATGGTAATATTATAATGAATAATATAAGGAAGATATAGTGCTCCCAGTAAGACATACTAGTGCTACAATAAGTTAAAACAGAAATAAGGTAAAACAAATAAAATTTTAATGGGGTGATATGGTACCGGTATCCGAGTCCATAAAAGGAAACCCAGGACTAGTGCCATCCGACTGCCGTCGCCCCGTCCACTCCGTCCAAAGACGAGACATTGTCATCCTCCGTCGTCCTGACCCCGTCTAGGACGGACTGGACGACTGTAAGCACTGGCTGAGCGACGCAGGAAGGATGTGGGAAGGGAAGGTGCGGTGGTCCTGCTTAGCCTTCGGCACCCCTGCGGGGCGCCGCGTTTTCGTCAATTAAAAACCAAACGTTATCAAGGTCATAGCCATTGAAAACCGTCTGACCAACTCCTAACTACCATATAAATACCACCCACTATGATACATCGCATGCAGAATCCAGCTATCGCACTATAATGCCACCCCGACCACAGATCCTCGGCCGCACTCTCAACCACGATACATCCGTCAACGGAACATAACCCCCATAAACACCCCACCAATAGCGCCTGTAATTGCCCCACATATGATACTATTCACAGGAAGGATATCCAAATACAAAGGAATAACATTGAGGGGAAAAAATAAAATAAGAAAGCGATAGAAACCACCCCGAATGCAACTACCTTCTAAGACCCCTTCTCTTCTTTCCAGCATCAGTATTTTTGGTGCTCTGACTCCCTCTAGCCATCTTCTTCAGCTCCTCATCAATATCCCAGACTTGCTGACCCATGAAGCCCATCACTTCTTTTACCAAATCCTCTTTCTCATCGGGGGCCTTTTGGCCAGACTTGGGGAAATTGTTTGGCCCAAGATCAAGACTTGCAGCATCTTCGTCTTCATCCAGCAAACCAAACCCCACAAACTTTACATAGGGTTTCGTGCCCGATTCTTGGCGAGATGGGTGTTGGGTCACATCCCGAAGGGGGGAGAATGTTAATGGGCTGATATCTTTCTGGGTTGGCTCGGGTGTAGCATTTGGTGTGGCGAATGCTGCAAATGGAGTAAACGTAGTTCCTTCCGGAGTTGATGGTTTGGGAGTGTTGATCGTTTGTGGAAACTCCGTGCTCGTCGGTGGCGGTGGTGGTGAATTAGTTCCCGGGACCTGAATATCACCAGATGGCCTCCAGTTGCTTCGTGGCACAGGCGTTTTGAATGACGAACTTGAATCGGTGTCTGTGACTTTTCCACGGTTTCTCCAACTTCCGCCAAAACTCAACGTCGGCGTTTTGCAAGCACCAAGGTCGAGGAACGAATCGGGCCGCAACACACTCGGTGTTTCCTCGGCCGTAGTGCTCAGTTTCGATTGAGGAAAGAATGGGGAATCGTTGAGGGCATCAAAGAATCCCTTCTTCGCGGCCATCAATTGTGTTTGAGTGCCCTGGCAGGGTTCCGGGTCCTCTTCATCCGCCATCTCGTCCCCAGTTCTCCCCACCTCGGGTGCTGAGAAGTAACTCTGTCCATGAGATTGTGGGAGCTCATTGGTTACTGCTGAGGGTCTTGCGGTAGTGTCTTGTGTTGGGGGTTTCTCTATTGGCTTTGGATTTGCTTTCTGACCTCCAATGCGATGAGCTGAAGATACGCGGCCAGGGGGGATCGTCTTCCCAGTGAGTAGCTTTGCAGCAGGAGTCACTTTTAAATGACTGTCGTCCGTAGATCTCTCTCCGGAGGCTGTCATAATTGGAGACAGCGATATAAAGAGTGCTGTTCTCTGAGCAGGCTGTAGAGAAATAGATCCGTCTGAAGACAGAGGCTCGGACCTACAAACCATTAAAGTGAATACTCGAGGGCGGTGAGGGCGAACCGCAGCGGGGTACACATACGTGTGAGAACCAAAGTTTTCAATAGGTGGGCTCCCTGATGTCACAATCTCGACGTTTTTGTCCTGAGCCCCGGACCTAGTGCCATTGCCGTTCCTATCAAATTGCCTATTCTCAATGACATTTTTATTTACTCCAAAGCCCACATCATGCTCTCTAGCTGTCTGCCTTTCGGTTTCAACGATTGAAGGTTCTTTCGTCGCCCGATCCCGGGCCATAGATTTCAAGGAGTGGTCTTCTGGGTCTTTGTTTATACCACTATCATCAGCCTTTTTCCGTCTCTTCTTTGGAGTCTTTCTAGCTTCCACCCGAGTACCCGTTGGTTGATTCGTAAATGGCGACATTGTAGCGAAATTGATTCGTATCCGCTTCATTTTCGCATCCGCAGGGGCCAGTGGTGGCATCGCCCTGTTAGCTTCGGGAGCGACAAGGTGTATACTCTCATCTAGCTCGCCAGGCTTGCTTTTCGATCGGGAAATTGCAGTTGACGGCGTACGACTCTGAGCAGGAGCCCTTCCTCGGTTACTACACACCGGTGAATGAGAAACCGACCGAGATACCCGTTTTGTGGGCTTAGTTTTATTCTTCGGCGCAGGTTTAAGTGCGGGATTTGGAGCTGCTTTAGGTGTGGGCTTGGTCCCTAATTTCTTGTAGAAGGAGCCCGGAGAAAACACTGGAGGAGTTGGAAGCTTCTGCTTATGTTTTTCCTTTCGATTGACTGGCGTAGCCACAGGGGTAACATCATTCGAAAACACCACGGCCGTCTGCATCTCCCTCCCCTGCACCTCATCACGGTTCATCGTTGGCCGAGAGACGATTGATTCACCAAGATCCAAGCAGGCTGGCCGTAAGAGCTCTTCGACATCGGGTGAAGATTCCGTAATAGTCCTCCTATTGACCCTCCTTCTCTCAGTGCTCCATGCAGCCCATTCCGGTACTTGCGTAGGGGTTCCGAGAATTTCCCTCTCATCATCCTGACATAGAGCCTTCCGCTTCTTCGTCTTGTGCTTTTCCTCCATCCGAGCCATGGGTTTTCTCTTTGTTTGCTTAGCCCCCTTTCCCCACGGATTGTTGATCACCGGACCTCGCAGTCGTGCGGAGTGAATGTATAGCTGTTGACCGCTAAGGTAACTCTGGGCATGCCCCAAGATCCGCTGGTTCTTGGCTCGTTGGGCGGCCGGGGATTCTTCATCCGAGGAGTCACCAGCAAATATAGTATCCGAAGGGGAGGGGATAAGAATTGGGTTCTCGGGGAGAGGCGGGTATGGTCTTTGAGGCATGATTGTGAAATCCTTCCCCCCCTTTGCGTTAAATGTGGTTAGGTCAGCAGAGGAGAACACGAAGCGAGTGTGCAAGTGGTTGTGGTGGGAGACGCGAAAAGTGTAGGAACGGACAAACCCGCCGCGCTGTGGGAAGACGCAGCTTATCTGATCCCAATTTACGCGTCCAGGACTTCACGTGATGTCATCTAGATCTCAGATTAACCCAAAGATACACCCACAATCACTCGCACGGCTGTGAGGATGGCAGTCTAAGACAAAGAATACCTTTGAAGTTGTTGCTTTTTTTGGGGACACTTCCTGAAAATTCAATGGGAGGCCTAGAATTACGTTTTTATTCGCTTCGATTTGCTTTGTATGGCATTTCTTTATCTAATCTCTTGGTGTCTCATAATGAATGGAAAGGAACCCGGGTCCTGCCCCGCACTCGATTGCTAGATTCATAAAACATCCTTTGAAAGAGAGAAGTTAAGGGTTAGCGCGATTATTTTCATTAAGCCATATGATTGCACGTAGGAGCTCCTTAAAGGGCGTTTAAAAGTCAAACAAGTTCCATGTCATGAACAAACGGACTGTCAAAGAACCAAAGGGGAGCACAATATTACGAGGGGAAGTTAAAACAAGGCCATGTCATCAATACACAAAATCGAACTGATAAAACTATCGTAGCTTGTCTGAGAACAAAAAGCGAATCGCCGGAAATCCACCCTCCCTACAGTGTTTGCCAGCATATCTACTCTGTGTTTACAAAATAATATTATGATGGTGTGAGCTGGCTTCAAACTGTCCGGTGGTAATGTTACTATCCTCCAGTGTCCCGCCGAACCCCCTCTGGGGCCCTCAATAAGCATTTTATATCAAACGTCAGGTACCCCACTGCACCAGGAGCTGAGGGATATCTCTCCGCAGGAAAACTCGACAGAATGACAGCAAGCACGGCCCCAATTCTGTCATAGGTCTATTCTAGAACGTTATAAGCTGGAAGGACCAGTAGATATACCGGACCTTGCCACGGGACCTCTCGTAGCGTCGCGGACTACTTGTAAGTCTGGCCAATTGAGTTCCTGCTTGTCCCCTCGTTGGCAGTAGGACTTGAGGCTCCTTAACTGCGAAAGTTGACTTGTCACGGCTAAGATAATAAAATCGGGGTTAAGCACCAGCGTGCGTTCTTAAGTGAAACGTTCAGACAGGAAAATCACCATTGGTCACAAGTGGTTCGTTCGTTCTGGGAAAACAACTCAAGTCCGAAATGGCAAACTTCTCTTTGTTCTACTAGAATTGAAGAATGTCAAACCACAGCTTAAGCACTACGCGGAGAGATTCTGTTGCTTATTACGGAGCCAGTTCTTCCTATGCGCTCTCAGGCTGCTCTAGAGTAGTTTGGTTCGACCGCCGCTATAGCGATGCACTGTGGATTTGCCCGGCCCAACCTCCCAACAATGGTATTGCAGAATTTTGTGAGCGTTCCGTGGATATTCTGCTGGCAAGGGTTTCAAAATAGTTTTTCAGCTTAAGCACTGTTTCATTTAGGAGCGCACACTGGTGCTTAGCCTCGATAATATTGCCGGTCAGCGGGATGGATGAGTAGTAGCTGTGGTTGATGGCTGCTTAGAATTTGATATCTCAGTCTCGACACTATGATTTGTTGGGGATTTGTTGTAAGGTATCATATATTACAAGAGGATATGAAACGACGTTATGTGAGGATCGCCGTCTCAAAAGCTATGAGCCGTAGGCACGGAGTCGCTATATTTAGAGTTGATATTTCACGGTCTGCTCATTGCCAACACCACCGTACTTCCTCGAAATCACCAGTTCGACCTTTCAACGCCTGGCAAGCTGAGAAGTCACGGCAAAAGCTCTAGCGCTGTGAAAGGGATTTCGAAAACATAGGCTCAATAACACCGTTGGATAAAAGCAAGACTCCCTGACGGGTAAATTATGTCCATTCGCTAAGTTATCTCTCAATGCCCTGGCTCACTGCCGCTTGTTGGGAGGATAGGATGTACAGTACTCGTACAGTACTCCTACCGCCGAGCACCGGCGACGACAAACAAGGATTTCAATCATCCATATTACTCGAGTACAACTACCCGTACATCCCAGACATGCTACCAGTGCAAATTCAATCCGCTATCCCTAGCCAGTCGTGTTGCCACGTGCTCCAGCCCTGATCTTCAGTTTCTGGATATCGTATCTGACCAGCACCTAAACGTGCCCCGAGACTTCTGTTTACTCCTTGTTTGCGCAGCGGGGGGGGATACGGTTGTCCGAACTACCATTTTCCCGGTCACGCATGAATATTGTTTTTCTATATTTTCATTTTTGCAACGAATAATATTGTATTGTGTACTCTAATCACGGGAAAGCCTTGAGTCACATTTCATGTCGGCCCTTTAATAGCATACAAGTACATGATACTCGTACGTGGTTCCCTCAATAGAGCTGGTGCTGCGAAGGTGTGGCTGCAGAAGACGCCTGAAGAAATTCCTGTATTGGCCACACGATAATTTGAGATACGGTACCATCTGGCATCGCATATAGCATAGCACCACCGCCCATAGGTTGAAATTTTTAGATGGCCGGGAGATCCCAGAAGTCCTTGCGCAAGCCAATTCCGGTGTTCCTGTAATCGGGTACGGTGAAAGAAGATTGTCAAACCATGCCATCCTTCGCTTACTGTACTGTACTGTAGAACCCTGCGTTCTCAATAAATACCGGTATTGCTTGAGCAGGGGTTGCTGGTGAAAGACGGGGAAGTATTAGGCAACAAATTGATATGCTTAATGGGGATTCTCTTCGTTTATTCAGGTCCTTCAAGAAGCTGGCGTTCAGATAGTGCAAGATTCGCGTCCGCTCCTTTCCATCCTGTCCCACCCCTAGGTATATTATCCAATAGAGTAGGCCGCTGGGTTGGCTGAGCTCGGGCCCTCGCTCACCCAGGGGAGATGCACTGTAACCGGAAGGGTTGTCAGGGATATAAGAACACATTATTTGAGCCTTGCTCGGTCAGAGGGGTCTCGCCGAAAGATTGGGTTATCCCCACAAACCGAAGACATGCCCCTCGGGCACATACGAGTACTGGAGAATCCTGGTAAACACCCGGGAACGTTGCTCCCTAGCTTTAGTGTTGAGCGGATTCATTCTTTGGATCCCTATAATAATACTATGAAAACAAAGCGTCTCAGAGTTCTTCAGTAATGTTCCACAGGGCTCCGGCTATAAGCGGACGAGGAATCACTGGCCATCGCACTAGGTAATACGATGGAGCAAGGTGAACAATAAACAGAGGGGGATGGCGAATGATGCTCCGGGATCTGGTGGTAAACATCAAATTTTGGTGGGGTTATTCTCTATACCCCTCCTGTTCGTTGCCCCCCCCCCCTCCCTGATAGTATGTTACCGTGTTCTTATCAGGCGAACACCGACGCCGTTGCAATTCGGTCCATCATGGAGTAAGGAGCCTCTAGATAAGGTCAGTACTGGTATCAGGTATAAGGCTCCGCTCCGGATCGCATGTGATTTAGGATGAGGGCCCACTCAAGATTTCAGAACCCCGGCTGACTTGTAGTGGATGAAAATTTAATGGTCTAGACTTTGGCTTCAGCGGATACTTGGGGCGAGAAAAAAAATATGCGGGTGCGCATACAAGAATTTTGAAAATCTTGGCCGCAGAGGGCGATTGCAACACTCAAAAGTTTTGCGGAACTGTTATTCGGCCACCCGAATACCTACTTACCGTATCATAACCCCAAGTGGGCTTTGGGGAGAAGTATGAAGCAAGCTCGGTCTGTATCGGGGTCGATAAGAGAGAGCTGATCCACTCTAATGCTGAGATTAGAGATAGGATTGCCAACTGTACGCGTCAGCCCCATTGTTAGCATTAAGTGTGGTGATGCATACAACTTGCATCTGTGTTTGCGAGTGCTTACCACAAGTGGTTGTCGGTGCTTGTACCGTACAGTGCGGTGCAGTACGGTACGGTGCAGTACCGCCGGTATGTGCCTTCACCGGTACTCGAGCACTTGCGCCGGCAGTGGGGCGTGCACAACAGAGCTGATCGATCCCCTCAAAGCTCAGTCACCGCTGTATTATCATTCGAATGTGTCTGCCAGAAGGTGGGTGGCAGAATGGGAAGCTGCGGGGAGGTAGCCGGGAGCTTTCTTTCGTCCTTTGTTTCATTATTTTTTCCTTTCCATAGTCCGAAGGGAGAGAGCCCACATGTTATAGTCTGCAGCAGGATGGATATTACTGTAGCCATCGAACAAGAACTGTCGCTGATTGTTGGCCAGAGGGGGCCCGTCCTCGATGAGATCTCATCCATGGGGAAAGTGGCCAACACCATAGTGCATAAAGCAATAAGCATTGTTCTATCGACAACTGCATGACTAGAGTTGGCCACTCTCAGTTTGGTGATGATCACTCAAGTGGTTAATCGCATACAGGGGGAGGGGGGGGCAGGCTAAAAAGTTTATTTCACCTAGATTGAGGCGCCTAGAGATGGAGATGCCAGCTGCCAACGCCATTGTCGATAAGCCTGGAAACGGCAGCTCCCAGAATACTGTTACTATGATACCATAGCACCTAAACACCGGTACCACGATACTATTAAGTATGGGTACAGTAGGGCTATCGAACTACGCTGAATGATGAGGAAAGTATTTCCGCTTGTCCAAAACAGTGTAGTTTGATAAAGGTACGACCACAGAGTACCCGAAAGCTGCGGCTTTCACTTGAGCCAGATAATGACCTGAAATTGCGGGGTTAACGGCAGGGGGTTCAACGATTTCTTGGGAAGTCAGCAGACGGCGAAACAACCTGATGGCCCAAGCGAAGGGATTTGAAGGGGGTGAAAATCACCAACATCACACGAGCCTCCATTTTTTGTTTTTCCTACCATTTTGTGCGGTAATTGGCGTTTCCTTGTGGTGGGGTTTGACCACTGGATTGCAGATGTACTTGTACTCGAGTACTAGTACTTGTATCGCACTTGTAGACTGCAGTGCCGCAAGTGAATAAAATAGTGTGAGACAAAAGCAGCTGTAGGATGGGAGCCCATGGGGGGGCGGAAGATAAATCCCGCAGCCTTTTTTCCCCAGGCACCTACGGCAGTGGCTGAAAGCGACTACATTTTGGACCTTAAACGGGGAAGACAATTTCGGTCATTGAAATCGTGAGATCGATCCGTCTGTACTGTTCGTTCATGTAGCGAAGCCGAAGATAGATTCCAATAGACTTGTCATGCTGCTCATAGCTCAAGATTGATTGGTCATACTCCGGGAGGAGGAAACCCAATGGCTTGGACCCAAGACTGCGGATTTTTTTTTTTCTTCTTCTCCTTCTCGTTCGTTCTTTTTCATCTTGATTCCTCTCCCCCTTCCCCATAAACCAGGTGCGCAATGACGGTGCTGTGCGGTACAGTACTGTACTCGAATAGCCACCATCCATCCTCAAGTAGACATCGTATCAACATTAGATTGGAATTTTGAGAATTCAGGAACTATCCTACTCGAGTACCGGGAGGTCCTTGGCCAAGAGTCGGCTCCCATGCACAGTGCCCCGATCGGGGAGACGAGAGCCAATAAAATGTGCCCGTGACGGAAAAGAGCTGTAGCATGCATAAACACGTTGGGGATAGACAGCCTGGTCCGCCGACGATAACTTGCTCCATAGTCCAGCTCTGTACGGGGCCGTCGACACTGGGACACTGCCGTATGGACACAACACTGCGGAGACCTGATGAGGGGTTGCTGCTATTGTTTGTGAATGCGAATGTGGTGAATGAATGTGGTATCGGTCGTTTGTCGGTATTGAGAAAACGCCCTACGAGTGAGTAGCCGTATAACACTCGTTGGTGTTTTCTTCGTTTTGGGCCAATGCAAAAGGAGAGCGGTGTCCAGTGCTTTGGGCTCTCCTTGTTTTGGGATTGGAACTCTGCAGGTAATTATGATAGCAAGCTCAAGTACCGATACTTGTACTGTAACTCGTGGTATTTCTCTCTGGTTCCCTTTGGTTCTCTTCTACGGTAGTCCTTTTTTCCACTTCCTCAGTAGAGGGGATCTCTTTCCTTTTTCGTACAATTTTTTCTTCTTTTCGGTTACTATGGCCTTGTTGTATGGTGTGGTGCTGGTTGGCTGGGCCTTTTCATTCTGTGCCTTCTATGCTGCGTTGCTTTGTCCATTTGCTTGGTTCAACTCTGCTGCCTCTTCCAACGCAACTTTTCCTACTCCTACACATCCTTCAGCAAGGGGATAACAAGATCATCCTCTTTCCCCCCATCCCCCCTCTCTCTAAAGGAACCCTACTCACGCCAGAATTGTCTTAGAGACGGTGTCTTGCCCCCAGTTTTTCGGTGCGAGAAAAAGTTCACCTTCGCTTGTCTCCTCTCCACTGCCTTCTCCCAGGTTATATCACGGCTCGCAATAACGTCATCTCTCTACACTTTTCCCCCAAGTTTACCTGGCTTCCAGCAGGCTTCAATGACTCCTCATGCCAGTCCCGTTCCATGACCCCATACCTCTAAAGGACTCTCCTTTGGCCCCTTCAGGTCCTGTCCGTTCTAGAACATTTCCAATTCTTACTTCCTCGTCATTTACCGCTGATAGTGGCGAAGAACATAAAACAATCAGCAGCCATTTCGATACATCCCCAAGCTTTGACGATACCCTTTCTGTCTCACAAACTTCTACTTCGTCGTCAACTACTCTTTCTCCATCTGCGTCATCACCCTCTCTTGTCGAGAGCACAGGCGTTGGTCCCAGCGAACCGATCTACGGAAATTCCTATGATGAAGCCGATTTGTCTCGTCCTCTATTTCGCTATTGGAGACCTCAATCTACATCCTTCCCTTTAGAGGCTAAATTTACGCTCGGCGGGGGTATACATCCGGATACTAGAATTGCCCATTCGCATAAAGACGGTTGTATATTTTCCTGTCGTCAGAAGGAAAAGAACCCCCACATCACCCTTCCACCTTACATAAGCCCTGCCGACAGTCCGACTGATCGCCCCTCTACACCTTTGACCGGAACTTCCATTTTGAAGCCAACCGATGGGGCTGGCTCTGATGCTATCCTCAAGGCTCAGCTTGGCCTCGATAGTCCTATTGATTTTAACGAAAGACTAGGCACTTCTGTAGCGCGATGGGGTGCAAAAAATGATGCTGATGGAGAGGCAAGTTTTCCGATACAGAGCAGCCCAATTCGGGAAGATGAGGATGACGTTGGGAGATCCATTGCTGCTGTTATGGCGAGTGAGAGCAATTCTCGTAGCAGGAAGGCAACACAAAGACTTGGGTTGTTCCGGGAGAATGAACAGGCTATTGAAGAACGTGGGAGAGAGAAACTGAGGCGCGAGGAAAAAGAGAAAGAGAAAGAGAGGGAGCGACAAGAGAAGCTGCGCGCAAAGGAGAAGGAGAGGAAAGAAAGATTAAAAGGTAATGGAAAAATGGTTTCTGTCGCACAGTTAAGCAAGACAATTAAGGAAAATAATGCCCCCCCTCTAGACCTTTCTTCTAATGTCCTTTCAGTTAAAAGTACGAAAGATGCATATTCTCAATCATCAAGTGATGAGCTCTCTTCCAAAGTTTCTGATAAAACATCTATACCGACCTCTTATTCCAATCCTGTTTGCGGAGCAGTTGATGGGAACGAGTCTTCTGGGATTCAGTCGACAATTAATTCTAGATTAGACTCGGCCCCCAAAAGTATCTCCCCTACCAACGGTGATTCGTCAAGTGTCTGCGTGGGCTCTGATGACTCGTCCCCTTCCTCGATTACAACAGTGGTTCCTGAAGGTCACACCGAATACCCTTTTCCTGGGTGCCGAGATCTATCCATAGAAGTACCTGACGGCTTTGAACCGGTTGAAAGGCCAGACCACCCGGAGGACGATGACGATGAAGAGGAAGAATCTGATAAAGATGAAATTTCCTCTGCCCTATATATCCCACATCCGACTCCGAATCGTGCCGCCACAGACTCCTCAATTGGTCATAAGGCAGGCCCAGTGAAGGGTCAATATAGTAACTCGGCCTCACAAAGGTCGTTGATCGAGGCTGATAAACAGAAGAATGATGATACACGTCATAAGGACCATGAAGAAAGTCCAGAATTCGATTTATCTATCCAATCTGGGGACGACGAATACATTTACCAAGGCCGCCGACAGTCCGTAATCGCGGATGATGATTACAAAGGCTACCACTCCAATACGGAAGGCTATTCGTCGGCTGCGTCAGGGTTTTCTGATTTTTCGGATAGTTACGATGAGCTTTCAAGTGGCGAAAATGATCGTAGTGGGAGTGGCTATGGAACTGCTTTATCTGAAACTGAGGATACCACCCCAACTGCTACGCCCATTGCCCGGCGCCCTCATATCAAGTACGATCAAACTCTTGGCAACCGAAAGCAGCATTCTTCCAGTGCCCAGTCGAAGGCCGTACCTCAAGTTCCTTTGGGGGCTGTTGAGTTAAAACCATACAATCATCAAGTTGGAGGTCATACAGCATTGTTCAGATTCTCCCGCAGAGCTGTTTGTAAAAGCTTGAGTAATAAAGAAAATGAATTTTATGAGGCTGTTGAGAAGAGGCATCCGCAACTTTTAGGATTTCTACCAAAGTAAGCCTGTGTTTTTCTAAACCTTTGATGATTTGTAGTTGTGTTCCGGTTTTCGATTGTTCCTTTTTTTCTTGCGAGAGGCTGTGGGGCTAACGTGTTTCACAATATCAAGGTACATTGGGGTTCTTAATGTTACCTTCAGAAGAGCACCAAAGAAGAAGAAAACCATCAAAAAGGAGGCTGCAACAGGCTCACCTGAGGTGAGCGGATTGGCAACGGAAAGCGAGGTCTTTGTTAGGAGCGGCAAAAATTGTGCAGACTCTCAACCAACCGAGACAGAGTTTACGAAGGCTCCGAATGTTGTATATAACTCGGAGGCGACCTCTGGGGGTGCACCCTTTCCTCTTCCCCAGGTGGTCTTCGAGAACAACAGACACATTATTCCTGAAAATCTTTTTCGCTTTTCGGCCAGTGCCCCATCTTACTCTTCGAATCCAGCATGCTCCGCCAGTGACAAAGAAGGGCGATCGCCGGAGCCGACTCAGGGTAAAGGGCAGAAAAGCACAGAGGCTGTGTCGGATACGCCGGAGGCTAATGCTACGGGTAGCGGTGACGAGATCATCCAGGGCGAAGCCCATCCAAGGAAGTCCATCTGGGGTGCTACTTCGGTGAATCGCAAATTACAGGAACAAGTATTGAGGGAGGTTTTTGGATCTCCGTCTATTCCCCGCGGTCATCATCACACTCGCTCACATTCAAGGCCACGCCATTACAATTGCAATCACTCCCATGGTCACCGGCACCATCATGGGTCACCCCCGGGCGCTGACAGCAGAGGATGCAGATCCAGCTTCAGGAGGAGTAGCACGGATCTCGGGCCGTCCCACCGACATCAAGCCTTTCCCGAGGATCGCAAAATCACATCTGTTCGTATTGAGGGAGAGAGGAGACACGCCTCTAGTACAGATTTGAGGACTCTTTCGAAGAGCAACGACATCACTGGCGGTGCTAGGTCTTGTTTGAGTAGATCCCCGACAACACCTGAAAGGCGGAGGGCTGGCTTTCCAAGAAGGCGGTCGAGTGGTAACATATGCAAAAGGTCAGGCAAGCCAGAATCGTTGAGCCCACCAATTTGTGATTATGCCGCAGAGGATGAAGGTTACGGAGGCGACCGGGAAGACGAAGTATTTAAGATGGACGAAGATGAAAGCATTCCAATTGGAAAGAAGACTTGGGCAACCAGATGCTTGGACCGAAGAGCCCCAACACCACCACCATCACCACCATCAGTCCCCTCTACTGCCTCGGAAAGCACCTCACAGACACAGCAGCCCCAACCCATTCCATCACCTCTCTCTATCCCTCCGGCAACAGAATCTCCAGACCCTGTCGCCATCAACGAAACCCCTAATATCCCTATACCCAAAGAAGTACTACAGCAGCCCATCGAACGGGTGGAACATTTCCTTCTCCTCGAAGACCTGACAGCGGGCATGAAGAGGCCCTGTGTCCTTGACCTCAAGATGGGAACCCGGCAGTATGGCGTCGAAGCCTCTAAGAAAAAAAAGCAATCACAAGCAAATAAATGCGCCCTTACCACCTCTCGTGATTTAGGTGTTCGACTTTGTGGAATGCAAGTTTGGAACGTGAAGGAGCAGACCTATCTCTTTCAAGATAAGTATTTCGGTAGAGACCTCAAGGCCGGGCGTGAATTCCAGACTGCACTTATCCGTTTCCTTTACGATGGCAAAACCAATAGTTCCGTCTTGCGCCACATCCCTACTATACTCGAGAAACTCAGAGCGCTGGAAGCCATGATAAGGGGACTTCCTGGCTACCGGTTCTATGCTAGCAGTTTGCTTATGATATATGATGGCATGGATCACGACAGGAATATTGACCTCAAGATTGTGGACTTTGCCAATTGCGTTACTGCCGAGGATCCGTTGCCTAAGGTCACAACGTGTCCGCCTAAGGATCGGGATGGTGTTGATAGGGGGTATTTGCGGGGCCTAAGGACGCTACAAAAGTACATTCAGAGCATATGGCGAGAGACCAAGGGTGAAGGGTGGGTTGAAAGAGGGGAGGAAGGCGGTCATGGAGGTGGTCATCAGAGAGATGACATTGGACCTGATTGGGACTTGATTGAAGATCTTGGGGAGGTTTCAACATAGACTGGTGGCTGTGGAGCGCCGCGGAATCTGTGAGAATGAGTTTATGAATGATGTAAGTGGTGGGGAATAGGGATGATTGAATTTGGTTTTGCTGCATGTTAACCCCTTTCGGACGATCGTATTTGTTTTTTTTTTTGCCTTTGTTCTCTCCTCTTTCCTCCCCCCTTTCCCTTCCTCTCTCCCCGATTGACGAGAATGGGAAGACGGAAAAGGACCGGTGCTCGGATTTGCTCCCGTTTCACGTCTTTCCGCCTCTTACTCCCGGTATTCCCGGGGTAGAAGGAGGAGCAACGGGTAAAAAAACGGCCATTCACATTGCATTATAAATAGTTATTTTCTCTTTATTTCTGCCCTTGATTGCCCACACATGAGCTAGTTTTATTGGTCTTTTTTTGTTGCTCTCCTCTTTCCATTGTTTTTACTCCTTTAGTCTTTTAGTCCTTTGAGCTGTGTAAACAGGCCCACTTTTTTCCATCTTCATTTCATATCCTTCCCTTTTCATAGCCGGGTCTGTGTATGTTTGCTTGCGCTTTTGTATTTTTTGATTTGTTGTCGTATTGGTTTGGTATGGCGCTGCTTTTTATAATTTCTCGTTTATTCTCTTTATGGGTTGACTTCATTTCTTTCTTCCTTGTTTACATAACTTTACTAATCGAGGCGGAAAGTACATACTCAACTCTTGTTGCTGAGCATATTGATTCGTATACTTTGTTTTCACTTGATGTACCCGTAGCCAGAAAGCACTGTACAAGCGTGTAGGATGCTTGCGCAGCCCCGTCCATACGTACAGTGCTGTCTATAGATACCGGCGCAAACTCCTCGAGACATCGAGGCAGTTGGAAACAATTTCCTCCTTTTATAGCTTGTCCGAAACCCTTTCGCCCAATGCCGTAACACTCAGCTCTTCTTTGGTATTTTCGACCAAGTAGTTGATATCTATCGATCCCACTTTCGCCCTCTTTCGTATCATATCATATCATACCTCCTTCCATCCATCCAGGCGTGCTGGGATGATAATTCCCTATTGTTGCCCTGACATAGGGTTAAGTTGGGAGGGGGATGTTATTATCAGTTGATCAAATGGCTCATTTCTATAAGCTGTAGTCGTACTGGTACCGTATCATACTATGATATCATGGTAACAGCACATGATTGGACGAAACATATGTAACTTACTTGCGCAGGGCTGCCTCGTCGGGGGTGGGGATAGTCTACCGCAGTCTACTAGAAGGTTGATAAGTTACACGCAGAACGGTGTCTCGCGATGGTTAAGTTAGGTTAGGTCTGGCTCGGGCCGGCTTTCGTCGGATCGGATATGCAGATCATAATACCGCAAAAACCCTTTAAATCCACCGTCGGACAACGTGGCTTCTACTTGCGCAATCGGGTAAGCGAAATTAAGCCAAGAGGTCGAGTGATCCTCCATGATGCCGAGATTCCTTAATTTTAACGTCAACACTTCAGTCAGCTGAAATAACCACAATCTTCAAGCTCGGTAGATACAAATTCAATCTCCTGATATTCTACATTGCCCACAGTACTTCTATGAGAAGGTGACCCCAAATCCTGTCTCCAATTGCCAATTTTGAGGCCCACAAATGTTAGGTGGAGACAACCTGATAGACTTCAGAGTTGTCTAGGCTAACCAAGATTCGTTTCCGTAGACAGAGATTGTCTAGGAAGGCTTGGACTTCACTCATTACGTTTATGACTACTAAGAGCAAAATAAAGTAGGTATAGTAGAATGGAATCATGAAGACAATATTATATTGTTAAGGTCTCTTCTCCATTGCTTGATGATGCCTAATAGCTTGGGAGGTACTTCAATATTTATATTCCGTGTCTGAGTGTTTGTGGACTACAAGTATCTATTATACAACTATGTACCTCTCTGATCATAACTCACAATGTTGGGTACTATTTGAAGATGCGAACACCCAGGGACCCTGAAAATCACCACACCCTCTTCGGTAATTACAATATAGTTAATCAAAAATCATGCTGTTTCGAATACTAATTATCCAATCATTAGAGTCTTTAGACATATGGCCTAGTTTTTAAGTCGAACTGAGTTGGCCCCAATTGTCTCCGTTAATGATGAAATGATCAGTTTTATCTGCAGGTTGTATCTGCAAAGGTAGTTGTGATTGTAACCTTTCTAGATCGCCTAACTTCAAACCTCTATAACTCTGTATCCAACCAATAGATATCTTCTGGAGAACTTCCTACTAATTTGCAGAAAGCTATTCTACTGGAATGATAGATAATTCCTTCATCGGCCAGCCTTGGTTGCTCTGGGTAATGGAGTTCAATCACTGTTCTAGTATTGAGAATTATTCCTACAATTATAGTGCATTTCTGAACCCAGTTGTAACATTCTGTGAAGTCCATTAGCTTCTGTGGTAGTACTCCTCAGAGTTTTAGACTCTTCTGGTTATCATAGGGTGGGTGCGAATGTATTAGTCATGTGTAGAGATCCCATATCATTCGATACCATATCTTAGTGCAAAAACGTCCCGTTACCTACAGCTCATGCCACTAATGTCACATATTTGAAGCCTAGTAACTCTCTGAGTAGTAGATGAATATACTTTGTTCTACTTCCCAGACCTAGCCGAAGGTCCCCTATCCCATCACCTGTGAATGAGATCTGGTCGGAGAGACGGCAGTAACATATATGGTGTTATTCTTACACCTTTAATCCTGTGTCATTATTGTCACAGGATACAACTGAGATCAATATGTATAATGATGTACGGGCCCAGTAAGGGGGCTGGAGGGGGGTGTTGGAGACCTGAGATTCCGATTCCAAGTGGGGTTACTCTAATTAGAATGGTTTCTAGGTATCAGATCCCTGTATTCCTAATAACAAAACCTTTTATATCTAATATGTGATCCAAACTTCCACCAATTGGAAGATCTAGCTATTAGGAATACTGAGATCCAATACCCAGAAGTCACCCTAAGTAGGGTAACCTTACTCAGAATTGGAATCTCGGGTCTCCAATACCTCCCTCTGGCCTCCTTACTGGCCCGCACGTCATCATACATGTCAATCTCAGTTACATAGCTCAATTGGAATATTACGCGACTCTTTACCGAAGGTCATGTGTTCAACTCCTGTTGTCGTCAAAGTTATTTCTGGTATTGAGTTATTTTCTACCAATGTCACGTGCAACTGCAAGGCTCCCTGCACGACAACTGAGAACCTCCGAACGAGGGATTATAATTCTATCCTATAGAAGTACTTCTCCTCTACATGAGAGAAGTTACTGGATAAGAATCTATCACTTGGATCAGGAGATATTGAGCTTCAAAGTCGGTGACTTAAGAAGGATACATACATGACTTCACAGAGTCATTCAGAGCAACTAAAGATTGGTGACCGAGGGAATAATTATCAATCCGGTAGAATAGCTTTCTGCGAATTAGTAGGAAGCCTTTCAAAAGACATTTATCAGTTAGGTAAGGATTTATAGAGGTTTAAGGTCAGGCGACTAAAAAAGAGTTGTGATTACGACTACCTTCGCAGATACAACCTGTAGATGAAACTAATCATTTCATCAATAACGAAAACAATTGGAGACAACTTAGTTCAACTTGGAAACTAGGCTACAGGTCTAAAGATTCTAAAGATCAGATAACTACTATTGGGAACAGTATGGTTCCAAGTTAGTTATATCATAATTAGCAAAGAGGATTTGATGATTTTCAGAGTCTCCAGGGGTTTACACCTTTTAAAGAATACCCGACATTGCGAGTTATAATCAAAAAGGTATATAGTAGCATGATAAATAGATGTAGTCCATGAACACTCAGACACCGAATATAAATATCAAAGTGCCTCCCATGCTTTAGACATCATCAAGCACTGGAGAAGAGACCTGTCACGAATGTGGCTTAGCGAGGAAAGGGTTTTCACGTGACGCATAGTTATGAGTCACAGGTACGTTATTGTTTCACACATATGACTTATTAGGGTCATATGATTTGTTATGTGTGGGATTTGTGATGCTTTCATACATGGCTCAAGTATGAGTCATGGGACGTGCGCCTAACAAGTATGCCTTACGGGTAAGCCTTGCACATATGATTTATGTTTTGCACATGACCTCATTATGAGGTCATGGGTTTCGAGCATGTGATCACTTTGGTCCCATGATTAGTTTGTTATGATTTGATTTCGCACATGTGACCACTTTAGGTCACATGACTACGGGCGGGAAGAATACTATATAAGGAGGCCGATACGGCCAAGGAAGATAGGTTCTTCACGCTTTGTTCTAAGTACTTTTCCTACTTATGACTTTATCGAATATAAAACACCTTTACGATCTTTATCTTGATTGCAACGTTATCATTACGCCGAGAAGTGCTCGTCACGAAGATGAGTTAGAGAAAGCTTACGAGAGGTGTTTCCAATAAAAGACAAAGGTCTTGTACTATTGGAAACATAGGCAGAGGCCTAGAGCTATCGTAAAACAAACAACGAAGGAGACAGAAGAGATAAGTATCGCTCCCCGTCACCCAGAACTAACTAGCAAAAAGGGGAACGTTACAAGACCTTAACAATATAATATTGTTTTTACAATTCTATCTTACTTTACTGAATTTACTTCATTCTCAGTAGTTATAAATAAAAAGAGTGAATCTGAGCCTTCCTAGACAATCTCCGTCTACAGAAACGAATTTTGATTGACCTAGACAATTCTGAAGTCTATCAGATTGTCTCTGCCTAACACTAGCCCAACCTTTCTAAATGTATGACCAATAACTTCTCCCTTTTCATTGTTAAACCCATAAAATACTTCACTAATACAGATAGTAGTTATTATTCCACAATTATGAATAGTCTACTTCTGAAACTCATCGGTAGACTCAAGTTTTAAAATTCGCTCACTGGTGAGAAATTGTAGCCTGTCTTTGAGAGGTTTATTGACCGAGACATCTAGGAGCTGTACAAGGCTGGTATGTCTAGTAGGAATAAAGGAAGAAATAACCTTATGCTGAGAAAGAAGTTCGAGAATCACTTGTGTTTTGTGAGATCCCATGAGATCCATGGTAAAAAGTATAGGTCGGCTGCTGAGAACTGGTAGGAGATAGTTCGTAATATATTACTTGAATAAATCTTTATTTATGTACACTATAGGGTTATACTGAACTAGTACTCATTGATCATACTGCTGCTTCTTATTGCCTAGTGTTTGTCCTGTACCATAAAAAATTATTATAGGTAATATTTGAAGAATACCATCTGTAAATATACAGAACACTAAACTAGCTTTCCTTTTTTCCCAGCCAGATTTGGATTCTTTTGCCTAAATAGTTTTCTCATGAGTAATATTGTAACTGTTTTCATCTAAAAACACAAACAGAAGAGGGGTCTTACTAAGGTTGCAGATATTTGACAGCTTATATCGACAGCCAAAATGTTCAACTAAAATCTTCCAAAAACAGCCCACTGGATGTTGCAAGTTTTAATGATTAAAGCGAAGCCAATTAATAATTGTAATTTGATAATCCTCTAGTAACTTTAATGTCACTATTGTAATTTCCCGCAAACTGATCCCATACTGACTCTAATAATCCTACTTCATATTCGTTAGTTCTTCAACAGGCAATGACCTTACCTCCTTGATACCTTGATAGCTCTGAGACTCGTTGTTTTTCATACCACATTTGATACTGAATATCAGTATTCTTCTTTGATCTCAGCT